ACCAGCAGCAGCAGCAGCAGTCGATGCCGCAGCAGCAGACGATATCGCACACGCAGCACGTGCAACATACGTCGGTGGTGATGAAGACGGTGTCAGCGGCGGGCAACGGCGGTGCCGGTGAGGTCGAGGAGATCAACACGAAGGAGCTCGCACAGCGCATTAGCGCCGAACTCAAGAGGTACAGCATACCACAGGCGATCTTCGCACAGCGGGTGCTGTGCCGCAGCCAGGGCACCCTCAGCGACCTGCTACGCAATCCGAAGCCCTGGTCCAAGCTCAAGAGTGGTCGCGAGACCTTCCGGCGGATGTGGAAGTGGCTGCAGGAGCCTGAGTTTCAGAGAATGTCGGCCTTGCGGCTAGCAGGTTAGTCGTCCACGCGTCAGAGAGAGACCCCCCCACCCACCCCTCATTCACCACGTATACAAAACTCCCACCCCACTACAAATCACTCGAATCGAAACACTCAATCGCGAAAGTCCCACCTCTCTATCGTGTACTTTTTGTGGTACTTGTCCATTTCTGTAAGAAAGACGAGAAAAATACAACACTCGGGTTTTTGATCGACGTTTGTCGTCATCGTCGTCATCATCGTCGTTGTCGTCGTCATCGTCGTCATCGTCGTGTGAGTCTCTCGCACACGTACTACATATACGAACACCTGTAAACGTACACACGTTTGTGTCTCACCGCTTCACACACACGTGTTTCGCTGCTCGCCCTGTGTTCTCGTCCTGCACGTCCTTGATATCGATCGATCCATGATCGATGACTGCGAGATCCCTCAGCAACACCGATGCTCCACGCCGGGTCGTTCACCGGCATTTCGCGACTGTTTAAAACCATCCCTGCGTCTTCTAAACGATCCCTTAGATTTCCTAGTAAACTAAATATTCACATCTCACTCTTTGACAGTGAATTTAAAACAGTTTCTAAAAATTAATAGGTTGGGAATAAAAAGAAACGAGATGCAATGTCAAATTTCTGTTTTTATCCTTCTTAACTAAATGAGATTAAAATAAAATATATAAAGATGAAATAATAAAAAATGTCTTCTGAACGATCCTTTAGATTTCCTAGTAAATATTTATCACATCTCCCTCTTTGACAATGAATTTAAAACAGTTTTTAAAAGTTGAATTCTTCTTTGACTAAATAATTAAAATAACAAGACTAAAATAACAAAGATGAAATAATTGACGACTGAGTAAACCAGGTATTTGCCACATCTCACTCTTTGACAGTGAATTCAAAACAGTTTCCAAAAATCCATAAGTTGAGAATGAAAAGGAATGAAATACGATATCCAATTTTTAGTTGATTTTTTTACTAAATAAATCGCCGCGTTGACAGAAAAGTGACATTAAAAATTAGCATTTTTTAAAAATAGTAAAAAGAAACTCTTAAAATTAGCGTATTATTGTTGTAAAAAAAATGACACATTTGTTAATACATTGCTTATATTTTGCTATGAAAGTGTCACAATCCGATAAGAGATGAAATTTACACAACTCCGTATTGAGATTGCAATGCTCCAATTTTGAAACACATAATTTCAAAGAATACATTATAAATGGAGATATAAGAAACATGGAAAGAAAGTGTAATTATGTATGTTCACTATCTTGATTAAAACACTGTTTTAATTTAGAAAGAATTTTAAAAACGCTCCACTGAAAAGTTGTTAATTTTGAGTTGTGTAACTCTTTATACGTAGCAAAATGTATAATAAAAGTATAATATTTCATAAAAATGAAATAATATAGAAGAAATATATACCATATATGATACCGTTGGCTTCGTTTAGTGTTCGTCGTTTTTTATGAGAATAAATTAAAGAATTTAAGAATTAAACACATTTGGTAAAAAATGAGATTTTTTAAACTAATCGAATACAATTATAGAGATCTGTAGGCGCATTCACGAGACGTATATGCATTCAAGCACGATTTAAAGATATCTTAAAAATAATTCTGTAAATTACACCTGCTTGATAGACCGCGTTACAAGTCTCCTTGGCGACACCCTTCGATTCAAAATAAACTATACCCTATCCGACGTTCCCCTCTAGAGTGAGCTTGGAAAAAAAACGCTTCTTCTCGAGTTACTTAATTTACAACGAATCCGAAATCGTATTAATCGAAAACCTATTCAGTGAACAGATCGTACACACAGAAAAATGTCATTCTACAAAAAATGATTATTCAATTAATTTTTTTCTTACTTTTAACTAACAGCTGTCTGTGACAAAGAATATTTTCTTGATAATAATATTTCAAAATATACTTATTAGAAATTTTGGAAGAACTCATTATTATGTACTCAAAACAAGAATTTATTTTCTTTTGAAAAATATTGTAAAATTGATCGAACAAGCGATTTTATATAATAAATAAATCGAATAAATAAATGTTTCAACTTAATACTTGATTGATTTATTAAATTAAAATTCAAAATACATTTTGAATAAATTTGATGCTTGTGATAAACTTATGATAGATTTGCAGATATATGAACTTTTGAAGTATTTGAAACACATGTAATTATTATTTGCGTACAGTATGTATTTTTCTGTGTGTGACAGAACATTTACGATCGGATTACAAAAAAAGAATTTAACTAATGAACATTTTCCTCTCCGATAGGAAATTCGTGAGTACAGATTTCCATTTTTTATTAACATAACGGAAATCAATTTCACGTATCCGGAAATTGACTGCTCGGAATTAACATTTGCATGTTCCAGCAGATCCGAACTATCTTGTCTCTGTACTTCTTGTAGTCCCTTTAATAAATAAAATATTCAAATTTAGCGACTCTACACTCGTCATCTGCGTGAAACAGAACCTCCCTGTAATGTAGACAGCTAAACTACTCGAAAGCTACTGGCCGCGTTCAGTATTTATTTTGCAACTGTTGGAAATTTTCTTCGCTGAGAGATAGGACTATTCCTCTGAATCTAAAAGTATTCTAAAAGTATAATCCAATCAGCGAGAAGAAAACTTCTAGCGGTTGTAAAAAGAACATTCTGTTGAACACGGCCATTAGATTAGGCACTAATGTGACAAGTAACCGAACGAATGTTCTTATGAAAAAATGACAAAAAAGCAGAGAAAGCACATATCGGTGGCTCAAAAGTGTCAAACACGTCCGCTTTCGAATCCATTTCTCGAGGGCGAGGAATGACGGGTCTCCTCTACTTCTGTCGATTTAAGTGAACCCCGCGAATAAATGACGCCGAAGATCCTCGCGGAGACGATAACGCAGGGGGATAACGTTACTCGGAGATACGCGCGCGAAGGATTCGCGCGCGCGCTTCGCACGCGCGCGCGGAGAGCGGAAGCGCACACGTGGCACCCACGTGGGAGAGGCGTTCCCTTCCATATCATTCAGAGATAGACGCGCGGAATAACACTTTTCGAATTCAACTGTCGACGGCGCCGCGGCGCAGCCGCGCGACCTCGGCCTCGCTCGGCACGGCTTCGCTTTCCGGAGCCGCCATGTTCGCCATGCCGTCGCCGTCGTCATCGTCCTCGTTGTCGTCCTTCTCTTTCTTTCTCTCTTTCCCCCCCTCTCTCTCTCTTCGCCCTTTCCTCGTCCACCCCCTCTTGTGAACCTTTTCCATCCAACGGGAACCGCCGCGCGGGATTCGCGATTTTAGCGTCTCTCCAGTGGGATCTCCAACGACAGAGTGATCTTTGCGTTTTCACTTTTTTTTTCGTATAACATTCGATACAATTTTTTCTCAAATATTTGTAGAATATTCTACTTAGATGTTTGTAGAATATTATCATATACTTCAATCTTCAGGATTATTCAGATTCTTTGAGCGAATCTAATATATCTAATAGATTTCTTGGTTGCTATACATCCTGCGACTTTAATTTCTGATGAATCTTGTGAATTTAGTATTAATTTTTTTTTAGCATAAAGATATTATTTCGTGCTTGAATTCTAATTTTAAAAATGATCTATCTTGTGATGAACTTTTCGATTCAAATTCTATTAAAATCTGTTGAATTTATGTAAAAAAAACTTTGTGTAATCTACTTGCTTTACTACAATTTATACACACTCGAGCTCATTAATGCCTTTTCGCTCGAAATTAGCTGCGTTTCAAGCAGACGCACATCTAGATATATTATGATTTAAATTCGAGCAATGATGGATTAACAATCACGATGTATGTACAAACACCTAAATCTGCCTGAAACCCAGCTAGTCAAACAAGAAGCATTATTTTCCACGAGTATACTAATTGAAGAGCAGACGAAAAAAATCTTTTGTCAACGAATTATAATTTTGAATTATTAGTTTCTCGACTTCAAGTTCGTCATAGAATTATTGAAATGAATTCTTTCATTCCCCAATTTTTTTGTCGCATAAATAAGAAACAATCATACAAAATATATCTCCATTCGTGTAAGACAATTTTCATAATAAAACGTGAAAGAACGATGAACGACTGTGAAATTGATGTTCTATTATTTTAATGGACGTCAAAGCCGAAAGGGTTAAACTCGCGAACTGTGAGACATTCTATATGTATTCCATAGCTCAAGGTGCCCTTTTTCAAACAATAGTATAAACTGTCAAATAACCGCCGCTCTCGTTAACAAAAATAAAAAATATACTCGTTCTCTCACCCTTTTTCCATCTCTCTCTCTCTCTCTCTCTCTCTCTCTCTATCTATCTATCTATCTATTTATCTATCTATCTATCTATCTATCTCTCTCTCTATTTTCTGTCGCTTCTTTGCGGGCTTACCGAGGCATGCAGATAATGTCGGGAAGAGGGATTACCTTTACAGTTACTGTTCTACCGGTAGCCCTTCGTGGTACGAAACTCTCTTAGGGTCGTGAAAAAGGCCGGTGGGGAGCGAAGAAAAGGCGCGGCAAGGCACGGGAGCAAAGGGTTCACCAGAAAGAGACAATGCCGAAGAAGAAGAAGAAAAAGAAGAAGGCTCGATTCAGTGCTCTCCAGATTAGAGCCTTCGCTATTGTTTCCCACGTGTCTCTCTCTCTCCTTCCCCTCTCTCTCTCTCTCTCTCTCTCTCTCTCTCTCTCTCTCTCTCTCTCTCTCTCGCAAAAACCAGTCTCGAAAAACGCGTTCACAGCTTCGCGCGTGAAATCTAAATCTAATTCATTGCAAGTCTAACGGGAAACGAACGAGATGACTGTCTATAATTTAAAAAAAATCGTGAAGAGAAATTTCATCGATATCTCCAGAAATTGAAAACAAATTGACGAATCAAAATTGAAAATTAAATTAAAGAATTAATATTAAATTTCAGCCGGCGTGTCGAAATAAAATTACGAGTTAAAATCGGAATTCGAATTATGTGTGAAATCGAAATACGGGAAAAG